CGATATAAATCGATATTTTTGGCCATATCGAAAGATATTTTTGCCAAATCAAATCGATATTTTTACATGTCCCTGCTTTAACGTTAACGGAAAGTACCCCAGTGGCACCGACAGATTTTCACTGATCGACAATTAGTTAGTTAACCACAATGCCAGTATACATACCTTATGATACATATGATCTAGTTCATAAACAGGAATTTGTAGTTATTGGTAGTGTTTATAGTTGACCTAAATTTTTTGACTCGACTGAGCAAAGTCGATTGCCCATATTATGTAAAAAAATATATATCCTGAATTTTCCCGCTACCCACGATTATAAAGTTTACTGTAATGCTTCTAAATTCTTCGGCATTTCTTATATACGTCGCCAAGAATCGACTGTCAAATGTTTAACAAATCGACTGACTTAGCCGACTAAGTCGATTTTATCAGCTAATGCCAAATCGACTACAATCACTGTATCTAATAAGTTCAATATAATGATTAGTAGTTCTATGAACAAAGTATAGTCTTAAGATTAATATAAGAATGAAAACCTTCAAGTATAAATTTATAATTAAAAGTTTTTGTCTAATTAATGTTTCTGATATCTCAACAACTTTGTGTAAACCTTTATCTAATAAATTTTTAGAGCAAATATAGGGTAGACAGTTTTATATGCGATGGTATTTTTCTAATCATCAACAACGTAGCTAAAGACCTCATGACGTTCGTGAATATTCATTGTGGATGGCCAAACAAAGTCAGGGCCATGAAAATGCAATCAAATTAAATAATCAGTTTTTTTTTTTATGTATCGTAGAATTTCTTTAAGTTATCTCTGTTTTTTTTGCAAAATTCTCGTCGTCAAGACCTAGTTTTTCAACAAACTTTTTGAGATCAGGATTTTTGATACATTTCTCGAGATATTGTTGCTCGTTAGTTGTATTTTCATGGTTCAGATTTTCAAACTTTCTTTCATTGGATATATGTGAAGAATTTCCTATTTACATTTTATTAAATACAGTTGACTCTAGATATTACGAACTCAAAATTTCATAATAGTTTAGTATTAAAAGTGCTACGGGTTCTTAAGAAAACATATTAGTTTTCTATAAGAACTTTTTTTCTTACAGAATTTTCAGCTCATTATAGAAAGAGTTGACTATAATATACAAATTATAAGAAAAATATAGCAAGCATTATACAAAAATTATGAACTTGAATTGACATCAATTATTTCAGGCAGGTTAGAGCTCAGAGAACAATTTGAGTTTCCAGAATTTGGGCATATCGATACCTATTGTTTACAAAATACAGAAATAGTGCAACGTTTGAAATTATTGGGTCGATCCAAGCTTTATCTTCGCTTGATCGCGCATTAATTTTTTTCCTAAAAT